CAATATTATGTTGATTCGAGCAGATCGCATAGGCGAAGGCGATGTACCGCGCCAAGCTCCACTCTTCCCAAGAATGCCAAGTTAATGAAGTAATTGAACATTTTAGTTAAGACATCAGTTCAGAATTCAAGGAATTCGTTATTTTTGTTGGCCATAGAGTCTCCGGGAGTGCTTATTTTTACGTGTGAGACACATTTGGGGTGAGTCAGCGATTTTCATTTTTGTAAGTAAAGTTTTTTTTTATTTTTTTTTTATTTCACATAACTCGACTTAAATTAATTGAGGCTGCTAGCTAAGTGTGACCCAATTATTGCTGATGGAACTTTTGATAATGCCCCGGCCCAATTCGTCCAGATGTACACAATTCACGGCAACAAAATAAGGAGATAATGTTCGACTGGTTTACTGCTGCTTGTCGTGTCGAACAAGAAGGGCGTCACTGAGGTGGCAATGCCAAAAGTTCTCAAACATCTGGTGAGAGAGAAGGTAGGGGTAGAGTTAGAGCCTTCCAAAACTTTGGTGGACTTTAAGGACCCTACCCCCTACCCTGGCAGCTAGCAGGAAATACTGTCCGGGCTGTGAAATCCGTGCTTAAATTTCACTTCTCCCAAAACTATTCCTAAGTTGTTTTTTTTTTAAGGTGAGGTGTGAGTGAAAAACTGTCAGAAATCAAAAATATTGTTTGTTCAAGAATGCATAACCGTTCAAAAGTTGCAGCCATTTTACAAAATAAAAGCAATCCCTAAAAATAAGCATTTTCTCAAGATTTTTCTATTAATGCCGACGAAAATAGCCTCTGACACTGCTTCTGTTGCATAGTAATAGATCGACGCGTCCTAAGAACAAAGTCTGATCTGTTTGCGCGCCCGTCAACAAAGTCCGATCTTTTCGCGCGCCCGTCAACAAAGTCCGATCTGTCTTCGGACGGCGGGGACGTTTGGAGCGGCGGGGACGTTTGGAGCTTTGTGACAATTCTGTTTCTGTATCTTTGCTTAACATTTTCGGTCTCAGCTGTTCTTCAATCTCTTAGGATCACATAGCAGTCATTACTTTTTCTATACTGTAAATATTATTGAATATAGAAATAAACTAAACTATCGATACAGAGCGCGGCCAAAAACAGATCGGACTTTGTTGACGGGCGCGCGAAAAGATCGGACTTTGTTGACGGGCGCGCAAAAAGATCGGACTTTGTGGACGGGCGCGCAAACAGATCAGACTTTGTTCTTAGGACGCGTCGAGATGCATCCTGTCTAAAAACGATACAGGAAGCTGCAAATCAAATAGTGTGTAGAAGAACTGCACTACGACAAAAGAAGTTGCAACCTTAGCCCATCATAACCTAGGAATGTTCACTCTCAACTGAACCTCCGATATAGATACAACATTGTGAAATTGACCCTTTGCCGGTATGACTTTTTAAGGGGACACTATGGTGAAATTTGGAAGTCTGGGAGCCTATGTTTCTGAACATTTTCCTTTTCAATTTCTTAAAGCATTTACAAAATAGGCCCTTCTCAAGCTTTCCCAGAATTTTAGGAGCCACCCAAAGCTCTGAAAATCCTTAAGTATGTTAAAACAGGCCTACCTTTGAAAAGTTCCATGCGCAAACTGGTTTGAGTTATATTGCCAAATCTTATGTTAAAATGTTCTATGATACACTAATATTAAAACCCGGCATGGATATCAAAATCAAACAACAGTTAGTTGTGTCCTCACTACATTTTCCAATAGGAAGCCCATGAAAACTCTTCAGGAGTTAGTACCTTTGGCGTGTGTGGGTGGCTTAGACATCTTCGTTGTTGTTGACAATGCCGGCAAATTAAGTTCAATACCAAACCATTAAATGCATATGAGCCCCAAAGTTCAATCTCTAATAGCTTTGCGCAGGGAATCTTTCAAAAACTGCGATTTTTGGATCAAAAATGTCCCCATTTTTTTCACCATAGTGTCCCCTTAAAGGCGACTTCACGTAGATTGTCGTGGATAAGTAAACATATTAGGTAGGACGTGTCGATAGCAATCA